AATTCTGGGAGTTAAAGTCCACTCATCTTAAAGTGGCCAAGTTTGGACAACACTGGTTTAATGGATCATCTGTAGAGAAATAGGGATTCTGTTCAAGTTAACAGAGATCATTCTTAGAAGCCACATTTTTAATGTTAGTTTTCAGTGTTTTCGTGAACAAATAGTATATAAAAGAGAGTATACAGATATAGTTCTCTCAAATTCTTGGTTGTTGTAATTAGTGACAGAATGACCAATCGTAACTTAATAGAAGTCTGATTCCTCTACAAAGAGAGGAAGTAGCCATTGTAAGAGCAAGTCAGATGCTGACCTTGATCCCATCCCATTAGAAGATAAAATTGTCAACATGAAAACAGTCTGAAAAACATTTTAGTCTACTAATGAGTATTCCTTATTATTATAATGAAAACTTTATCTGAAACTTTTGTAGCAGGGGCATTTGAAGAGGTAGCCAAAATGGCACGTCACAGTCATCTACTTCTCTTTATTTTCTGTTGAATTTTTCAGAAATCATCTATTTGTATGCAAATAGGGTATACAGGATCATACAAAGATGATAAATAGGAATAGGGTATCTGAGCTGTATGGTTGTATGTCAGAACAAGAATATGCAAAGCTGCCTGAAAATTAATGAAACGTTAGGGAAATATATATAATATTTGAAATGTCCAATCATTTTGTATGACTGCTGGTTAAAACATCCTACAAGGTGGTCAATGGCAATTCATTCAAAGAAGCAAATTTAACTGTATAGAGATTATATTGGCATCTGTCAGATATTATATCTGATATATATACTTTTTTTAAAAAAACTTGAATTATATGTCACATGCACACATAAATGCATAGAAACATATGACTTGCATCATTTTTGAGCATTCTGGCTGTGAATTATGTGAGATGGAATCAAGAACATCTGCAAAGCATCAGATTGGGAAGACAGCTTCTAAGAAATAAAATCACTTGAGAAGTGTACATATGCTATTTAAAAAATTACATCAAAAACCCATTAAAAGTTTTGGACTGGCCTGTATTATTATTATGATGGTTGGTCGCAGAGTCAGCCAGATGTTTAGACTGGATTTAGCATTTTTATCCACCTATCAAGTCCCTCCCAAGGGCCTGGGATAAGCAGATGTTGTTTGATGGTGTTAAAGGTGTCATCGCAGGATATAAACTGTTCCAAGTAAAGTTGCCTTTTGCTGTTGTTGTTATTATTATTATTATTATTACTGGATCAGTTGTATTAAACCTCCAATGTACAGCTTATAAGATCATTTACACTTTATAATACTATCACATGTCACTTGGGGTAAAAATGCATTACACGGTAATTAGCAATAACCCAAATTGCACTGACAGTATTAATAGCGTAGTGTTGCATTCCTGATTATTATGCATTTCTTTGCTTTTTATCATGATAACTGTAGCGTTTTGCTTTCCCTTCCAGAATTAATCTTCTGGGGTTTTTTTATGGAGAGTTTACTGTTAAATTGGTAGAAAAACACCTGCCAAATCTTACAGCTATACTCATTTGTCCAGTGCTTTTTATTACCACTACCAAATGATTATACGCGAAAGAAAATAGAAAATGCATTTAGGCAGTTATCCTACTATATAAATACAGTTCTACCCTGTGCATAAGTTCGTAGCGGTAATCTTACAGGCTTCATTGGAATTTATTCCCAGGCTCAAGTAGCTATGGATAAAAAATTGAATCTAGCATTGAGGGTAAGTGAATACCACGTGATTTATTTCTAAGCACATATGCAGAGGGTTGTGCAGTTTGATTACTTTTGATAACACTTTCCCATAACAATAAAAGCAAGCACAGCAACAATAGGGCTCACGTCTCCTGTTCTGTATTTTTCATTTTCTTCTACTGATATGGGAAAGGTGCTTTTCTATTAAAAACTGAGAAAACTGTATAAGCATGTGGAAGATAAATTGGAAAACCACCACAGTGTAGAACGGGCAATTGGGATGAAAAAGAACATGAGGCCATGGCACTAGGAATGTACTAATTGATTTGTTAATATGTCTTGTAGCTCAGGAAGCACCATACCTCCTTCGGAATGTCACTGATCAGGTGGTCAACACCAGCCGTTCTCTTAGCCTGCAGTGTTCTGCACACGGTGTCCCAGAGCCACAGATATCATGGTATAAAAACAACAAACAGATACATCAAGAACCAGGTGAGTGCAGTACTCAGCAATGTTTGTGTCTGCATAGGATTCCTTGCATCACCTATTCCTTGCATAGGATCCTAATCTGAATACCTTTGTGAATGATAACCCATGCCTGGTCTGAAGCTGTGTTTATTTCTGGGCTGGTCTTGTGAATTTATTTCAACAGCAGAACCAACCAAGGCATTTTCCTGCATATACAAGTTCAAAGATATAAGAGACTGTACTGCTTACCATTACGTTGGTCTGGAAGAAGCCATCTGAATGCACATATTCGTTTTGCCTTGTGATACTGTTAATGTTGAATTTAGCATAGTGACTATATCACCCAAAATGCACCTTACTTATTTTTATTTAGCAGGTTTTTACCCTGTCCTTTGGAGAAAAGGGGTGGTTTATCAAGAACAAAGTTGAGGTGCTTCCTCAATTCTTCTTGTGTTGGTGTTCCCGTACTCTGTACACCGGCTGTCCTCCAATTATCTGAAAGCATCTTAAATGTAGTTCAAGAATATTTCATTCAGAAGTGTTTTTCAGATGGGGGCTGTGCTTTATTTCAAAATAATATTTTCAGCCTTCAAGGGCTACAGAAAATGTGGCAATGATGAGCTGATGTTATTGGAGTAGGTTGAAATTTTTCGCCTTTTTGACAGGAATGGGGATCTTTTCAGAAAATAGGTGCATTAAGTTCCTGAGGGATTAACACCTTTATTTATGGGGTTAACTTTGGGGAGGAAAGATAGAAAAGAATTGCAAAAGGTGGAGCCATTGGTTTCTCATCCTTGGTTTAGATTGTATAGATTGTCCAAAGACCTTCCCAGTAAAAGTGGCCTGATCATGTTTATAACTCAAGCTTAGAGACAGCCTGAAGTCATAATTAAGATTTCTGCTCCACCATCCTTCTGCATTCTGCATGACATAGCTGTCTTCAACCTTTTTTCTTCTTCACATACTACAGCTGGTTTCTCCTGCAATACTGAGCTACAGACTACAAAGCTGAATTGCTCCTAGGTCCATTCAGAAATTCCTTGTTCATCATCCTATCCTTGGCCCAAGGTTTAGCTTAGTCTTTATCTTCAGATTCTAGTTTTCTAGGATGATTGTGTGAGTATGTGTGTGTATGTGTGGGTGAGAGAGAGAGAGAATATGCCAACACACTGCACACAACAGTCTTGTGCTGGAATACTCACATGAGTAGTCTTTCATTGCTTTGCTGCAATACGATGCAAAGTTCTAAGCATAGTCCAAGAAAGAAAAGAGTGCCAAATCTTTTCATCCTTTGGTAATGTTTAATAAACATGTTTTGCATAAAAACACACTGAACAGGAGGAACAAGTTAGTCATAAACTGAAAGTGTTTCATTCACAGGTTCATAGATAAGTGCTTGTAGTCCATCTCCAAATAATCTTGTTGGCTAAATTCTATCCCCAATACTGTTTTTCTTAGACCCAGCCAAGTGTATGAATTCTACTTAATAACCACCAGCCATCAAAAGAAATATATTTCATTATTAATTTATCAAAAAACAGAAATCACGTATGATTAATATCCCCATGTGTATTTAAAATAATGCTCAGCTTGGTTTTATACTCCACTGTACTGTATAAAGCCCCACATTTGCACATGCCACCAGGTATAAGGGATAATAACTACCACAACCTGATTAGAAACCAGTACAAGGTATACAGTATCATTATTACCCTAAGGACAAACCTATGGATATTTCAGTTTCAAGCGTCCAAGTACATTTATCAGCAGACATCTGCCTCTTATCCTGGGCATAATTTATTACTGATATTATTTGGAACAATTTTCTCTAAAATTATATTCAGTGGATAAAAATATGGTCCACAGTTGGCAGTGATAATGTATAATTGTCTATCAAAATCACCACACACAAGTGCTTGCTGGTTATTTTCTAGTTCAAAAGGATCCTCCTTGGCAAACCATCTTCTAGAGTCAGAGCTTCACACCTGTCAGAAGCAAGCGCTGTGTATTTCCTTTGTGGGGGGAACCTTGCTTCTTTTTTTGAAAGATGGGCTCCATGTGTTCCTCATGAATCCCAATTGTCTTTTCTGGCTCTTGGTAACTATGATAACAGCACATTACCTCTATCTCACAAGAAAACACTGCATGCCTTTGTTTTGCAGGGCACATTGTACACTTTGGGACTGGTTTATAACTCAAGCATCCAACAGAATTGGATTTTCTTTGACAAGCTATCCTTCATATTTATGTGCTATTCATTCTGAATATTTCCAATTCTGCAGGTATAATATTAGGGCCAGGAAATCAGAGTCTCTTGATTGAAAGAGTGCAAGATGATGATGCTGGATTCTATCAGTGTATAGCTACTAATCTGAAAGGAATGGTGGCGAGTTCAGCCTATGTTACCATACAAGGTAATGAAGCTTTATACAATGATTTTTGTTTGCTTGATTTTTCCTCTTTGATCTTTCCTGAAATTCCCAACTGATTTCCATACAGGAGATCTTGTTCTTCATAGAGAAACAGGTAAGGAGCATCTTGACTAAGTTACGCTACTGTTATATTTATTGAAGAAAGCTTTAGCAAAGGAAATGCACTAGGTCAAAGAGACAGCCAACGGGAAACACTTAATCAGAATGTGTTTATATTGACCTGAAAATAAGTTTTGCTGCATTCCAACAAACAAGGGTCAGAATAGAAGGGGCGTGTATATTTAACCTCATTGCTTTGCTTCACTTCCTGTTCCAGATTGCAAATGGAGTGACCTATCTGATTCATCTTGGAGTTATTTTCTGTTTTCTTCCTCGTCACTAATATTCACCCTTCTCTCATACATTAAAACTGGTAGTCTGTATGCTCCTGTTTGAGAATTGTGGCCTCCCAGTAGGCTTACAGGTCCCGTTTAAGGTGCTGGCTGTCACCTATAAAGGTCTACATGCATAGGACCAAGCTATTTGAGGGACCACCTGTCCCCCATTGTTTTTGCCCACCTAATTGGGTCTATCAGGGAGGGCATGCTCCAAGTCCCATCCACCAAATAATGCCAACTTGCTGGACCTCAAATCGTGCCCTCTCTGTGGCAGTGCCACAGAGTGCCTGCCTTGTGGAACAGCCTCCCCCCAGAGATCAGGATGGCCCTGACCCTGTTAGCCTTTTGCAAGGCTCTGTTTCCCCAGGCATTTGGGCCAGGCAGTTAGGATGGGCTCTGTTGGTGACATGGCTGCTGTTTTGGGGGCTACTGTTTAACCAGGCATCTTGGGTTGAGGGTTTTAATCTTTAATCCCAGAGTCACTGTTGGGAGATGGGTGGCTCTAGAAATTATAAAAATAAATAAATGTCCATCCCTTCTTACCAAAAAATAAAATTTATTTACGAGGGAACTTTGGGATGGTTGGTAGTGCTAGGATATGTCAACAACTTTATAATTATTTTATCCTATCCACTGGAGATAGTTAGACAGCAGGAACTGTGTTGCCACTTTTCAACAGCTTGAAAGGAAACTGTCTTCTGGATTTGTTTTGTTTTATTATTAGCTGAACAATTTTCCAAATGTTGGAGGAACATCATATATAATATTTCCTTCCTAACTGAATATACCTTCAAACAAGCTAAGGTAGGCTCTGATTTAGAACATAGTAAAAGAAACAGTTTACTGGATAATCTCTCTTTTATACTCTGGCTCTCATCATACTGTTTATACGTTTCCTAGAAGAATAGATAAAAGCCATGTATTAACACCTCATATTTCGTGTTTATGTTAATGTATATCACCCCTTGTCTTATGCTAATGTGTATCACTTCTTGTCTTAATTACTTTAATTGTCCAAATAAAATCCATATAATTTTGGAAAATTCATGGTTTTTTCCATATACAAGTCTGACATTTGAGGAAAGAACATTCAAATCTCTCTCTCTCTCTCTCTCTCTCTCTCTCTCTTAGGATCTAGTGCAGAAAGCAGAGTGTAACTTACAGAGGTGTCCTTTTATTCCTAGTTATGTTCTGCTTTTAAATAGCTCAATAAAACAACAAAACAATTATTTACAATAATTTCCAGGGCTTTCATCCAAAACAAATGAAATCTGATGGTGCTGATCTTGAAATTATTCATTGCTCCAGTAACTGGAGTATAGTGTAGCCCTATGTCTTGGGTCTGACAGATCATATAAAGAAGCATATGATAGGCTAATGATTTGGTTCTTTGACTGTCTATATGAGCGTGAAGCCAGTACATATATTTTTCAAGGATGAGTAAAACCAGGAGCTTCAATAAGATCACATCAGTGAATTGTCTCTATGTTTGACAGATCTGACAAAAAAACCAGTTTGTGTTTCAAAGAGGAAGGAAACTGTCTGCTCTTTTTATTTCCTTAAAAAAATAGCACTAAGTACTATTTTTGTATCAAAAAGGGATGGTGACTGAGCAGGATTCAGCTGAGTGCTTTCAACAATTAAGTGCCCTAGTGTTGGAATCATCCTAGAGTAGAAGATTGGAGGATGGGGAAGTGATGCTCTACCTATTAATTTATTTATAAACTTATTAGTCACTTCCATGCAAGGGACCATTAAGAAAGGGATCAAAAATAAAACTGCCAATATTACAACACTTTTACAAAAGTGATGCAGCCACACTTGAATTACTGAGCACAGTGGCTTAGCCTAATATATATATATTGAAAAATGCCAAAAAGAACAAAATCAGGAAGCTGGAACATAAATAAGATTATTTGTGAATAAGTGATGGTTACAGTAAAGATCCATGGGGATTCCATTAGATTCCTATTGTCAGAATATAAAAACTTCTATTATTCCTAGCTTCTGCTAAATATTTCTTAATCAGTTGATCCATGAATCTTTTCCCCGTAACCATTGTAATGCTTTTGTTGAAGACATATGACTTTATCAGATCATATTCAAATGCAAGGCAAGATTTCAGCTGAAACCGTGCTGTTTTCTCTTCCACAAGGCATATTCTTCCTGTTTAGCCATTAATATTAATAATTCTTTACAGGTGCTCAACTTAAATCTAGCAAGCCTCCTGGTTATAATTATGTTTCGGTCAAGATGGTTAAGGCCAATATCAAATGAGCAATACCAATTTTGGACCTCACATTTTTCTTATATTAACAAAATAGCATATATGCATCAACTGAAAATTATTGGTTATCATTTTTGTTTTTTAGAAAGATAGCAGCACTCAATTTGCAAATTACTGCTCCTTAGCCCTCTTAACAAAAATATGTAAACTATATACTACACACCTATATTGGAAACTGGGCTGTAAGCAAAATTCGAAGAAGGAAGCTTAATCATTGATCCGCAGCATATGATGAACAAATTCACTAACAATCTATCAACATCCTATGACCTTTGTTTATGTCAAGCATGCTTTTGATTCCATCTATGGGGAAAAACAATAGATAGATGTTTGTTCCTTCTCATCTATATGTTACATGAAAATACAAGAGTATGTATAAATTGCAGTCCATGGGAATAACTCTCAAGCCCTATTTCTACACAGAAAGGAATTAATTTTATTGCTTTTATATTAATTCACTAGATAGGCATCTATATAAGCTGGAGCCTCATCCCTCCAAACTAGTTGACAAGTGGCTGCCAGCCTGCTACATGTTGCTGATGGGTGGTTTTATCTCAATCTGAAATTGATCTTAGAAGTAGGTTGAGTGCCTTTGCTCAGTATTGCTCTGATAATCACCTTCAGATCAGTAACCTAACTTTTTTTAAAGCAACACTCCAGATCCCCAGATCTAGGTTGAACAGACTCCAGTTGAACCTGCAACTGGAGACTGGGCTGCAACTGGAGATAGTCAGTTTCTGGTTAAAGTTAAACTTTTGCCCAGTGATCTTAATTTCCTTAACTGTCCCTAACAAATACCATCCAAACCTCTTGTTTATCAGTGAATGCAAACAACCTAAAGAGACTCTTAAGCCAGTTATGGATGTCAAATTGCAAAACAATCTAAATCTAGTTTCCAATTACTTCAGTCTTAGAGATGAATATTAGTATGCAGCCAGCTGTCTCACAACCTTGGAATTGCCTCATAATGCAGAACCTTCTCTTGGACCTGCTTTAATGTCCAGTGCCATCTCTAAGAGGAACAAACATGCCCATTTCAGTCCATTGCAGTCAAAACAGCTGAGCTAACATGTTTTACTTTACTACTTTCTTATGTGATTTTGTTACGTGTATCTGCCCCTTCAAGTTACTCTTGACTCATGGTGATTACCTGGACAAGCCCCTGCAGTTCTCTAGGCAACATTTTCAAAAGTGGTTTGCCATTGCCTTCTTCCTAGGGCTGAGAGAGCAAGGTGGTCCAAGGTCACCTAGATGGCTTTGGGCCTATAGCCTAAAACTCAGAGTCTCCCAGTTTCTAGTCTGGTGCCTTTAACCACTACACTAAAGTGGCTTTCATGAGTATTACAGGGATTTAAATTTCACTGTCACCCCAATTTTTCCAGGTAACTAATATGTTTCTTTCATACTATCCTACACCCAACTAGATATTGCATACCACGTAGCCAAATTCTGTGCAGCAAGTAAAACCCAGTACGAAATCATGAGCCCAGAGTTGTGCTTTAAGATGGCCAGCCATACACATCTTTATATAT